ATCTTAAAATTTCAATATATATATATATATATATATATATATATTTAAAATCAATTTTATTCATGGTGAAAATTAAATTAATATATCCAAAAGAACTTCAAATTTAAGAAATTTAAATTGATTTGTTCAAACAAAACATTTAAAAAATGATGGAAATTAAAATTAAAGTAATTCAAATTTTAATAATTTCAAGTCTCTTTAATTTATAAATTTTTAATCCAAATACATCATTACGAAATTTCACAAATACTTAAATTTTAAACTCTTTATAAATTTTTCATCAAAATAAAATATTTCATTCTATTTAAAATTCTTTAAAAAATATTAAATTACTTTATTGAAATCTATCATTCAAACACATTCTAAAGAAAATATGCTTAGAATTCAATTCCATTATATATTAAAAGGACAGTGCAACTAAAAATTTCAACTTCAATTTTTTTGTCAACACCTAAAAATATTTCCATCAACCATTACATAACCCTATATATACACATTTTGAGTATATATATATATATATGTGTGTTAAAAGAAAAAGAATTTACTACTACATATTTAGTTTATATATATTCTCATATATATAAAAGCAAAAGAGTTGATATAGGTTGCAATTCCGCCAAACCATGAATATATGGTGAGAAAGACTGCCTTGAGTTAGAACAATTACCTTGTTTTCCTATTGTTTCTTGCAAAGAAAGGCCTTGTTGAACAGAAACCCTATATATGATAGAAAAGACTGCCTTAATTGATGTTTTGTTATATATCATGAGAGAATATTTAATTCTATCCAAGTATCTTCATTCGGTTCAATTCAATGCATTTTCCAACAATTTTTTATTTCCTTATTTACATCAAATAGAATCTCATACTAAGATAGTTTTAGAAGAAGCTTGTGAAATTCGTCATTAATTAGTCCAAACGATAATCCAGACATATATAAGCGTGTCCTGTGGTTTGAAAACCTGACAACAAATTCAATGAAACTGACCACCGTCCAACTAGCTCTTAATATTGTGTTAGGTAGTACTACTAATCAAATCTGATGAAAGAGAAAACTTATCTTCCGAATTAATGTTGAAAGTTACAAATCATAGCCAAAAAAGAAAAAAAAAACCATATATTTTCTTAGTTAATTCCCGGTCAAAAACACAACTCATTGTGTAAGGAAAATATCACCGACCAGAAATACTCTTAAAACTCGTCAATTATACATTAGCTAATAGTATTATTTTCCGCTTATCATACAAAAATAAAAATACATGCATCCTTTCATATTAGTGTAAGATCTAGAAACCCCACATATCATCTGTACCAATTTCATAATCCCACAACTCAGGCTGTGTTTCCACATCACTGCAGGATCCATTCACAAACCTTTTCAATCTCTCACTCACTTTGGTTGCTCCGAATTGAAGAAGAGATTGAGGAATCTGCATATATAAACAATTAATTAAGCTTTTTTAAAATTATAGAGTTATAGTGTATTTTAACTAAGAAGAACAAATTAAACATATGAATATGATCGATGATGCATATATACCTCTGCATGCACAACATAAAGCAGCGAGTCTCCAGTGTGTGAGAAATTGGCACTTCTAACATCAATGTTCTCTTCATGCAGCATTCGAATGATTTCATGGAAAATGAATTGGTAATCCAACCCACAAGTGAGAACAACTTCCAGAGAGGAACCAACTTCGTGAATCTCAAGTTGTGGAGATTTTGGTAACGTTGCAGCTAAATTATTAGAAGTGGATGAATTGGAGAAGCAACCACGAGATCTCTTCCTAACTCCCTGCAACCTCTCTTTCTTCTCCTGCTCCACCTTCACCTTCGCCTCCAAACTCTTTATGTAGTTGATTGCCTCATCCACTTGGTCAGGCAGTGGTAATGCGGGTCAGGCAGTGGTAATGCTTCCTAAATCATCATCAACATCACATCTCAAATCATTAACACTATACTATCAATTAATCAATCAGAAATCATTGTTAAAACAATTATTATTAAAATCAACAAATTTATCATCATTCATAACGGTTTATGATCAGATACTAACGTAGAAAGCATATGATAACATACAAAATTTATAGCTACTCTTCAAAACATAATGCCACTAAAGGAAATTAGGCAACCTTGGGGTTATAGCTAGGGAGAAGAGAGTTGAGTTTGTTGTAGAGGATCTTCATCTGGTTTCTTCGGTTTTTCTCTACGAGCCTTCTTTCAACCTTGGTTGAAGAGGGTTGAATTCCAAGATGATCCATTAATATGAGTGATGAAGTGGTTTAATTTTCTACCAAGGTGTGAGTTGAGGAGGTTATGGATGAATTGGTGAATGGTGTGTGCATGTGGGTGTATATATATGTGTGTGAGTAGTGATAGCGAGAACAATGTGATAGATGACAATGAATGAATGGAATGGTAAGAGGAAGTTGAGAGAAGGGAAACGTCACCTTTTGACGTCACGCTATTGACTCTGCATATCTGAGTCATTTTGCTTTGCCGTCCAAATACACACGTGCCTTTAATAACGCACTTTCCTTGAATTTTGGTCTATGCTACCGCGTAACCGTAACAAAATACTTTTGTGTCATCCTATATTTTAATCATGATTTTTTCAACTTTTTAGAGTTTCAGGTATTGAAATTATATTTTAAAAATATATATTTAATTTTTATTAAAAAATACTAAAACATTATAGAGAACAAAATACTTTTAAATTTTTATGTTCATTTAAAACAAAAATATTTTATGAGAACAATGCCTATTTTTTTTATAAGAGTAAATTTATCTTTCATAAATATGTTTAAGTAAAAAAAATAAAAACTTTGTATGGCAATTACTCTCATTCCTCTTAATTTGGATCATCTCTTACCAACACACAATGTGTATATACAAGATCAAAAGGGTTAAAAATTAAAATAAAAATTAAACTAGACTTTTAAATTAAATTATGACATCTTTAATGAATAAAGAAGTAATAAATCTTTCAGTCAAAAAATAAAGTATATTATAATAAAATAAATTAAGAAAATTTTGTCATAAAGTGAATAAAATTACACAATAAAATAAAATATTGATATATTTTAACATATTAGATATAAACCATTATCCAACGGATTTAAATTTTAATATATTAAATATAAATCCATCAGAAATATTTCATCAATAATATAATTTTTTTTACGATTTTTTTTCTGTGAAATATAAATTTTTCGACAGATTTGTATCCGTTGGTAATTTACATTTTTCTTGTAGTGTATGATGATGTCGGTCGTGAATCAAGTAGAGAATTTTTGCCTTAAATAAGGTTGGGCATGACACTTTGCCACACCAAGCGCAAGATCTCAAGAGCCTCTACCTTATCCACGTCAAGCATAGGTTGTGTAGCACCAGGTGTGAGCGAGGTAGAAAGTTTCCTTCCTAGATGACATTGGGCATTGAGTGTGTGGCAAGCGTTGATGGTTGAATGAAAATATTCTATTTGGTTGATGAATTATTTAACATGAGTATAGTAGATTAATCTATAATATGTTTTAAGTTTCTTAATGTTGATATATGATGGTAATTAAAGATGATGAATGGTTGAGAGTTGAAAGTAAGTTGAGTTGTATGTTGTGTGTTGGTGGTGTAGTTGTGTTAGAAATGTTATATGAAAGAAGTTGTTATGTTGTTGAGATGATAAACGTTGAGAATGATTTAGACATTTAGGCATAGTGTTATTGAGCTATGTTTATCAACCTAGGGCTAGAAGAGAAATTTTTTTTAAAGTTACATATCTCATTATATGGATATTATGTTGTGGTATTCTAAGAGTCCAATTTGCTGAAAATTCTTCTTGGGAAGTTGATCCTTGAAGGGGACAGTTGAGTATCATTTAGGACCTTACGTTGGTACCATGTGTGGCAAGGTTGAGACACACGAGTATAAAGCAATCATAATAATAAGGGTAAGGTTGAGCTATATTGATTACAAGTGACCCATCAAGTAAAATACGAAGTCAGGAACTTAGTTTTTAACAGAGTATTAGAAGGGTGTAGTATTTGGAGGGGATTCGATGGACTATCTCATAGGAGGCTTAGTTAAGCTAACTAATATCGTGGTAGGCTTATATCCAGTTGTTCTACCCTAATAGTGGTACTAGATTTTCTTGTTTAAGTGGTGACATTTGAGAAACCAAGTTGTTGTATTGTGAATTGATATTCAATTTGTTGTTGATCTAGCAAACCCAAAAAGATCATCCTCTGTTGTTGGTTCAGTAGAGCCAAGCCACTTAAACTGCTTACCTTGTGTTGTAGGAGATCTTCTAGTTAAAATGCATGACGACGCATGTAGTGTTGTGTTGTATATGTTGTGTTATTGTGATGAAAAATTTGAGAACTTGATGTAGAGATGTTCGAGTTAATACTATGCTATGGTAGCCTGAGTTGTTCATATTGATATAAATTGATTGTGTTGTGACGTCATATGTTGATAGTGTTAAAGGTGCAATGAAGATGTGTTGATATATATATATTAGTGTGTTGATGTTTTGTGTTGTATATATGTTGTTTTCTTTAAAATCTATCTTACCCTTGCGTGTTTCTATATGTAGAATTGTGATGATCATACTTGCTAGGAGAACAAAGTAGGGGTAAGTTTCTAGGAGAGTTATTTTGGAGGTTAGTTTAAGACTGACGATGCTAATATTTTGTGATACCTTAAAGTAACTAGTTGGTAGTAGGAGTTGTTTGATTGACAACTTAAGTTGTATAATTTACTTTTACTGAATTAATGTATCTATGTTACATATATTATTGTATATGTAGATATATAATTATAAGATATTGAGTTATTTTTTCGTTGCTATTTATGTGTCATTAAAGGTAAGGGTTAAGTCGGGTCATTACAAAAAACAAAAAGTACAATTTTGTGGTAAAGATAAGAAAGATTATAAAGATGGTCACAATAATGAGAATTGAACCTAGATCCACTTGCTTCTAACTATCTCAACTCCTCCCCACCCAACCACTAAATTAACCCTAATGGTTAAACAAAAAGTACAATTTAACATAAATCTATAATATAATTTATATATTAAAAATATTTGACTGACAACTTAGATTGTATAGTTTACTTTTATTGAATTAATGTATCTATATATTACATATATTCCTGTATCTATAGATATAAAATTCTAAGATATTGAATTATTTTGTCACTGCTATTTACATGCCATTAAATGTAGGAGTCATATCGGGTGGTTACAAAGAACAAAAAATACAATTTAGTTTATAAATATTCAACATAAATATATAATATAATTTATATATTCAAAAATATTTAACTATAAGTTTTAATTGTAATATAATGTATATACTCATAAATATTTATTATAAAAATTCAGGTATATAAAATAAACATTAATTCGTGCATTGCTTATTAGTAAATAAATAATAAATAATTCTATATAATGAAATACTATTTAAATTAATTATACTAAAAATTAGTGAGCATGTTGGTGATGTATTTGAATATATTCATGTGAGAGTATATCTTATGAGTTGTTTAAAATTTTACCACCAAAGTGAAAGTATAATGAGTTATGTATAATAGTTGCTTAAATATGATATGATATGACAATGTGGATCAATAAAGGGATATAAGATATATGTATAAGATACACCAATTGTGAGTCTTTTAAGTAGAATTTTGGTTAAAATCTTTATGTGGTCCCTTATAATATTTTTTTGTTTCAATTTAGTCCCACTTTAATTTTTTGTTTCAATTTGGTCCTCAATAATTTAAATTATTGCAATTTGGGACTTCCATCCAAATGATTCAAATGGAGTTAACTGTTGGCCACGTGGATGCCAGGTGGATGCCACGTAGATGCCACATAGATGCGTAGGTAGATGCCAAATTTCTTGAATACACCTGGAACCAGAACGGCCCGTTCTGGTTGTACTCTTGGTGTGTTAATTTTGTACTTGGAACGGGCCGTTCTGAAGGGACGTTCTGGATTCAGAACGGTCCGTTCCAGAATGCCAACTTCATGCAACCAGAACGGCCCGTTCTAGTTTCAGAACGGCCCATTCTGATGCACTCATGGTGTGTTATATTTACATTTGGAACAACCCGTTCCAGTTACAAAATCAACACATAACATGTGCAAGCAGAACGGGCCGTTCTGGTTTCAGAACGGGTCGTTCCGTTTCCAGGTGTATTCATGAAATTTGGCATCCATATGTGCATCTACGTGGCATCCACGTGGCCAACAGTTAACTCCGTTTAAATCATTTGGACGGAAGTCCCAAATTGCAATAATTTAAATTATTAGGGACCAAATTGAAACAAAAAATTAAAGTGAAAGTAAATTGAAATAAAAAAATATTATAAGAGACCAAATTTTAACCTAGAATTTTTTATTGAAAATTGTAATAAAATTATATAAAAGAATATGCAATTATACTTTTCAATAAAAGCTTTTTATTTTTTATTCCTTAACGAATGTCAACACTTGTCAGCATTTTCCTTTAAAAAAAATGTTTGTACTAATATCTTTTTAGGTTTTTCTAAATGACATTCTACCTCTTCTAATTTTCATTAATATGTTAACCAAAAGATAGGTCTCAAATATAAGAACAATAATAACAAATTCACGTTAACTAAAAAATTAGTTATAACATCGTTTAATTTCACTGATCACATTTTTAAAAAACAATAATATACTTTTTCTAAACTATCCTTCATTAAAATTTTATATTAAAAATAAAAAACATCACTGAAAATGTAATTTCAACTTAATGAAATTTGAAACAAACACGTATTTTTTTTTCTTTTGTTGTATATTCAAAATCAAAGAAAATATTAGAGAGAGTCTTGTCACTTTATCGAATAAAATAAAGGATGTAAATAAGTTTCACTTTTTTAAAAAGAAATATTAGAATTATTCAAGAAGACTTTAAAAGAGGTGAGTATAAATTCTCTTCTTAAAAATAAGAGAGAGAAAAGAGTTAAATAATAAAAGAATATGGAGTTTTAACCGTAGAAATGTTGAGTGAGAATCTATTCTGAAGACCGATTATGAGAAATAGTTTTCAAACATACTGTACTGTTTTGGGCGATTTCTCGGACCCATAGAATGCCTACCTCGGGTTTTGAAGGTCTTGACGGCTGGTCAACTCAGGCTTTGAAAACGCAGCATATTACATGTAGTTATGTTACACATTTTAAGATAAATATAAGGATACTAATGTAAATACACGTTATTTATTATGTTACAACTTGCAATACAACATCATTTATCAACTTATCAACATTTATGTTAGTTACAGCAT